TGTTACTTGTGATACATATCCTCAATCAAATACCAAAAAACCAAGTATAAAAGATAGTGCCAAGCAACCGCCACTTGGTGATAAATATGAGATATATATGTAGGGAAAGGAGTGAGTATCCATCCATTTGTACATAAAGATGCAGATAGGTTGTGATGCGTGCGGTGCAGCTGCGGCAGAGGTGGTGTGTTGTTCGGAGGAGAAGGCTTTTTGCAATTTATGTGATCTCCAAATTCATAACACCGCTGAGTCTCACCATCAGCGTCTCCGCCTCTTCGCCTCCACCATACCCAAGTGTGATATCTGTCAGGTAACTTCTTTTTTTTTTTTTTTTTTTTTAATTAATAATTTGCTTCATAATTAATAAAAAAATTTAGGACAATTAACGAGCCGAGTCGAGCTTGTTAAGTAAATTAACGAGCCCAAATTTGCGAGCCATAATTCGAGCTCGAGCTCGGCTTGTTAAGGCCAACTTGAGCTGATCTGGAGCTTTAACAAATCGAACTATATAACTATCGATAAAAATTTATTTTTGACACGAGCATTATCGTGCCGAGTCGAGCTCGTCAACGATTCGAGCTTCAATCGCGCTCGAGTTCGGCTCGTTAAAGCCTCGAACTCGAGCCGAGCTTAACAACACTTGACAAACCTTATTTGTAGATTCTCGTTGAAGCTCCTAAATTATATATATATCTATCTATTGTTAATTAATAAAAAATTTAAGTATATTAATTTTTGGAAATAATCAATAAAGAGGCATCGGGAAGTATGTATCATCGGTTTGGGACGATTATAGTTATATAAATTAAATAGATATTAAGGAACACTTTCACATAGTTAACTAGTTCAAACATCATTAGTTAATTAAATAGATAAAAAATACACCGTGATAACTTATATTGAGTCAAATATGGAAAATAATATATTAATTTAGAATTTATCTGTGAGATCAAGTGAATAGCACAAGCCAAATAACAAATGTTTCTGTGTTTGACATTGGCACTATATATATACCTACTCATATATACGGCTATATTACATATCTTGATACATGTTTGTTCTAAGGAAAAGAAAAAATAAAAAAATACTTTAATGTTACACCATCAAAAACATTGATTATGAAAATATTAAATAAAAATAGAATTTTTTTATTTTAAATTTGGGAAGTTCTTAGAAAAATACATTATTTAAAAATAACACATGTTTTAGAAAAATTTAAAATAAAAATATTGTAGTAAGTAATTCGTAAAAACCTTTGATTGAAATATAATTGTAGGCCGTGGCGGACCCAAGCAGGGGCCCGTAGGGGCACGGGCCCTGTGCAAGTGTTTTTTTTAAATTAGTACATATAATTATATTATGAAATGATAATTGAGAGATATTCTTAAAATTTAAATTGTTTGTATTTTGTATTTGTATTATTTTGTAGGGAACATATATAAATGAGTTACGTCGATTTTTCACAAAAGTCAACATTGATTTTGATACATATTGAATTTTAGGTATTCTTAAAATTATAATTATAAGTTTAAAATTAGTTACAGAATTGTGTTTGTCATTGATTTTTAACTGATAAAGTATTTATTTTTATTATAAATAATAAGTCCACAAAAGCTGACGTTGTAAAAGAATATCCAATGCAAAACAAAACATGTTGGTATTTGAAAATAATATATCTAATGAGATTTGAATTTAATAGTGATATAATATGAAAGAATATGCATAGAATAAATCTCATTTTTTTTTTATTTAATTTGCACTTTGTAAAGGTTACGTTTGTGCTCCTCAATCTTACGAGTCTGCGTCCGCCCCTGATTGTAGGAATGTTTGGGGTTCTTCTTTTGCTTGGAGCATAGAAGTGTGCTGTGTAGAAAATGTGATGTAAGTGCACATGAAGGGAACTCACTTCGCGCCATGCATCAAAGGATGTTGCTTTCGGGGATTGAGGCTCAACTTCACCCAATCCAAGTGATCACCCACCCTTCAAATATGGGGTCCCACTTTTCTGCTTTGCCTCACTTTTCACAGGTAATTAATAATTATGTATGTACTGGATTATTATTATTATTATTTTTGATTTATAATCAATTAGATAAAAAAAAAAAAATAACGGCTATTGATATTCATTAAAATGTTATTGAAAGAAAATATGAATGATAGACTTTGAGTACATAAAGATAATAATATTAATTGAGCAGCCAAAAAATAAATAAATATATCGTGCAATTAATTTAGTCGATAGTGCAATTAATTTAGTCAATTAATTTAGTCGATAAGCGTAACTTATTTTTTGTGTTTTAAGTTTGAAGAGAATGCAAATGTGATGGGCAATGATTAAAATCCATCTAACTTAATTTTTGTGTTTTAAGTTTGAAGAGAATGAAAATGTGATGGGCAACGATTGGAATCCATCTGCCGAGTTGGGATTGATGGGAGATGAAGCAAATGCAGAGAGTGGCTTTCCCAGTGATGATGGGAGTGTGCAAGAGGGTTTTGGATCAATAACCGACCACCGCGCTATCGCACGTCTTACTCAATCCTGGCTTTCTGAGAACGGCGAACAATAGATTTAATTAATGTATTTTGGGAGAAGTAATGTCTAGTATTAGTATAGTGCTGCTTCAAAATTATTAGAATGAAATGCAGTGTGGATTGGAACCCTCCTTCTGTTTTTTTGTTTTCTTTCCTTAGCGTATGTGGATGTGATTTGGATTTTGTGTTGCCTTTCACCAGTTTTATGTCGGCTTCACGCCATCTCCTTTTTCATCAACCATCATTACAATTGTGCATCTAATGTTTTATTGGGAAACAATGTTTGACAATTATTTGACACACGTTGTCCTATATATACGAAGGGATCATATGAGAATGATAAATAATGAAAGAAATAAGAATAAATTTGTACCATGAGATCAATCATATCAAGGATTATGATGAAGTTAAATTATGGTCAATCATTAATGATAATCTTGTAATTATTTGATCATTGTGGTCAAACATATGTATTTGACCAATAATTAAAGGTAAGTTGATCAACACATATATCACATGGGACCCACTCACCATATCACCACACGTTTCAGTTTCCTCACCTCATCTCTCTCTTTTCTCTTTCCTCACTCCATTTCTCTCTCTTTCTCACTATCACACGCATCACCTTTCACCGACACACACACACATGCACAGTGCACACACACACACACACACACACTGGGCGTGCAGCAACGCATGACGGTCGCTCGGAGCCGGACCTATCAGATCTCTGCAACCAGCCATCCGCCTTCGACGTCGCCGTCCGATGCGATCACCATGCTGTCGAGCATCACGATGGCCTGGCGTTCACGACGACCTCAGTCGTCCAGTCAGCCGTAGTTCGACGCCAGCACCACGACGGCCCGACGTTCATGGCGGCCTCAGTCGTTCAGTCAGCCATAGTCCGGTGCCATTATGCCGTCGAGAACCACAGTGTGTCAGGCATTTACGACAACTCCTTGTCGGTGACTGGTATATCTTCCCAGCCGGGCGATTGGGGCGGGCGGCGCCGGGCTGCAGCTGACATTTTTTTTTTTTGTGTGTGTGTGTGTAATGACCTAATTTTTCTTCTTTTTTATTTATTTATTTATTCTCTATTTTTTTTTGGGTGTTGGGGCTTTGTGATGAGAATTAGACAATTTATAGGGGCTTTTGTACAATTTCATAACTTTTATTATATTGCATTTTAATAGGTGAATGATTTTGTAATTTATCAAAATTTTAATATATTGCACATTAACAATACATGATATTGCACATCAACAATTTTAATAAATTAAGTTCACTTTTGAATTTATAATTAATCAAAATATAATTAATATTTTCACATTTCATTTAATATGTAATATTTTTTATAGTTTTTATTGAAATAAATATACATAAAAAATAAATAATAGTATTTTTATGAAGTTTGGGCGTTCCATTGTTTTAATAATCTAAATAAATAAATTAAAATATAAAAATTAATATTTTTAATATAGTTTGTTTATTTATTGCGGTAATTTGAATAAAAAATAACATCATACCGAACTAACCGATATATAAAAATAATAATAATAACCATCGAACCAAAAATATAAAAATTTGTACTAAATTTTTGTTCGTTGAATCTCGTTCGATTTTGTGCAATCTGGTATGTATTTATGTGCAATCCATATAACCATAATGTGCAATCCCAATACATAAAAAATACATATAGAAAAATATTATTATTTTTCATAAAGAAAAGTATAAATAAATAAAAAATCGGTAATATTTATCATATAGTTTGGCATATTCGGTTATTTTGGTTATTTAAAATAAATTAAATATGATCGATAAGCATAATTACTGTAATTGTGGTTATGATTTTAGTAGGTGTAGCGTGTTGTTTTACAAGGTGCAACATGTTGTGTTATAAGGTGCAACGTAATAACGTATAAAGTGTGATGCCCCATGTGATTATTGGATTTTTTGGATTATTCTTTTATTGGCATTATTACTCTTATTTGGATTAATTGCCTAATTTAGATTATTACTTGATTTATTATATACATTATTGTGTGTAATATACACATATATATATATATTGTTGGTCGATTTATTTTATTATTCCCGGACATCGTTCGAGTGAACCGAGTATTATTTTAAACCCATGATCGAACCCTTTTTGATTGAATCGTCGAACCTTGGAGAACCGAACCGGCAACCCGCGCCCCGACCCTCCTTTTAGTTTTCTTGATTGGCAAGTTTTGTACCCTATGCTTATATATATGTTAATCCTCACCTCCCCTTAGTTTTTTACGCCGCAAAACCCAAGATCTCTCATCTCTCTCGTAAACCCTCGCTCTCTTTTCTTTCCCTCACAAATCCGATCATCGCCACCGTGCTCCATTCCCTTGGTCATCGCAGAGCCACCGCGCCACCGCAAGCATCTACGCAATCGCAGCACTCTGGCGTACCGTCTCTCTACTCGCGAGGTCACCGCATCATTCCGTTGATCACCCGTTCGTTGACCGGCGTCGCTAAACCCGTGCACCCACTCGTGTTCAACCACCATCATCACATCCCTGCACCCCGACGACTCTGTTCAAGCGTGCCCCGACCAGCGAGGACGATCCAGGTTCGTTGTCCGCCGTCGTTGAGGAGCCCGCGAGGGTCACATAGCAGCCGCGAGCCGAGCGAAGCTGCCTCACTGTGTACCACCGTCGAGCGCCCCATTCAGCCCCTTCTCCCTTCGTTTTCATGTGTTTTTGTCGAGAAGGTTACATGATGTCTTGAACACCATTGTTTATGTGTGTTATGTTGATATATAAGATGGTCCCTTATGATATATGATAGGGTTTGATTGAATTTATATGTTTATGAAGTAAACTATGTTTATTTGAGTTGAAATCATGTTAGATCATGTTAAATGGCTGAAACCCTCTTTATTATTATGTATATGTGTGTACATGATGTTGCCTTGGTGTTATTATGTGATTTGAAGAACATGTGTAAATGATTTTATGCTGTTTTGCGTTCGTCTCTTAGGTTTGATGTTAAAACTGAAGGACATGGGTTAATTTCGTAGAAAACCTGGAGTTGTGAGTGCTTTGGTGTGTCTTTGGCATGTTAGTGAAAGTCTTTTGTCATTTTGATGCCTATTCTTTGAGTTATGAAGTTTTTAAGTTGATCGTGGTGCTGAACTTTGGAAAATCATGATAAATGGAGTTCTGATGATTTGGATGTGAATTTTGGATATGTTGGCCCTATGTTGATTAGGTCTATGGTGTAAAACTTTCAAGTTAAAATACGACCTGTAGCTATGTGTTTTGGTGATTTGATGTTCTGGTCAGATTCTTGAACAATTGATGTAAAATCAAGTTTAAGAAGTTTTGAGCTGAATTTCTGGGAATAGTGTTATTTTGCCTTCATGCTTATTGTGTCAATATTTCACTTTAATGTTATTCGAAGGTTTGCCTGGTGAACTAAGAGTTTATCTAAATAGCTGTTATTTTGCAAAAAATATTTACGTAGGTTAAAATGGTTTCTAAGGGTCTCTCTGTTGTACTTGTGTATTTTTGAGTATATTGTGTTGTGTAAAAATTTCTTTTTAGTGCATTTTAAAAAGATTCGATAGATAATTTTTCTTTCCTCTTTTCCAGCCCTGCCAGCACCAGCCCGGGCCAGCACCCCCGGCAGCCCCGACAGCGTCTAACCGGGCCCTGTTTTGGTTATTTTCACTTCCTATTGACCTGTCACTATGTTTTTTTATGCTGAATGTGTTCTAGATGATATTTTATTTGGTTTATCGAGTGTAGACTGTTAAGCCAAAGTTTCCAAACTCCACTAGGAATTCCACGAATCACATAGTCATAATGTTTCAGCTAAATTCATGTTGTTGTATAAGTTTCAAAGTGTTGGGAAGTTGTTGATAGGACTATCTTGATTAATGTAGGTTCGAAGAGCTGAGCCCTCGACCTAAGTCCTTGCCTTGTGTGAATCTTCTACTTCGGTATCCAGGTGGGTTGTACTTATAAGAATTTCTATGCCGTAAGTTATCTATGTCTTGTTGGGTTGGTATGATCAATGTATTCATGTGAACCATTTAGCCTATCGATGTGAGCTGTTACGGCCGTCGGCACGGTTGCCCCCGTCGATGTAATACGGTGCCCTTGTGAGGCAGTCTCCTTAAGTCCTAATGAAGGGTCGTGCCCTTGTGAGGCATGTACTCCAAATATTTGGGTAATGAATCCCCATTCCGTGGCTAATGAAAGATGTGTACACACGATTGTATGCTTTGCACATGTGACAATGAGGTTACTTATGATGTGAATTGTATGTTTTGCATAAGTAGCAATGAAACTGCTTATGAGGTAATTTGTCCTATTATGTTATTTTTGGGGCTTAGGAAAAAACTATCCTCCTTCGGTGCATGTTGAACTCTCGTGATATATAGAGTTAAATGTTGACTCTAAAGGTTCCTCATTGTGAGTTTTCAGTATGTTCTTATCGAGTTAAGTTTTGTCCATAGC